TTTTGATTGCAAAACTTTTGCAATCTCTATTCTTTCCTCACTGTTCATTGAAGTTCACGGATTCTTTGATATTCTTCATAAAATATCAAAGAATTTTTCACTCACTCAAATTTTCACACAATCATTTTAATATTTGTGTTTCTGATATACTTTGATATTTTGCTGAAGTTCACTCAATCAGCAGTGACTAGATTCCACGGAATTTTGATATTTTGTGTTCCTGACTGTATAATGCAGTCAGTGTTTTTCTGATCATTCATTCAGTGAATTGACAATTTATTTTTACAGATTGTTCGCTTAAAAGCTTGCGAGAAAGAAACAGAACAGAGTAGAACATCATGGAACGGAAGGATGACATTGATCCCATTTAATAATGGAATGCATTAATGAATTGAAAAGGCAGAAATAGAACTCTGATGAGAAGTTGAGAGTGAAATAGCAATGATCAAGTAAAATCAAATGAAATTAAGTATCACCCATCAATCACATAATTATAAAAACAACAATATTAATAATAATAGTAATTGTGATAACAATATTATTAATAGTAACAATAATAACAGTCATAATATTATTAATGATTAAATAGTAATCAAATAGTAATAACATTATACAATAGTAATATCAATATCACATTCGCTTTACTCCAAAATCACAACATCTTTATATGAACCGATTTGCATGAACTAAATTAAAATTTAAAGCCAAATTTCATATAAACAAGAGCAGGAGAATGAATGATACCTCGAGAATGCGTTCACAATAGGGCAATAATCGTATGTACAACAAAATTTCGAAAATTAAATATCATATCATAAGACAGTTTCAACATAAAAAGATAAACGAATTGACTGCTGCTATTCTGACCAATTAAATTATAGTAAAGTTGAGATTCGGAAGTATTTTGAGGAGGTTCTCCGAGCAAATACTATGTCTGGCTTAGCAAAACATTCAGTGCGATTGTTTTTCACCTGTTCGTACCTGTGGACATGAACGCATGCGTTCGATCATATCAACAACGGCTGATCGATCATACTAATCGGTCATCATGCTAATCATAATTGATCGATCATCATATCAATCATACTAATTTGCTGATCGATTGGCTTGAAGCAAACCATGGTTACAAGTAAACTACAGCTAAAATGCTCCAGCTCAAAAACTTTCCCAAGCATGAAGACCAACAAATCAAAGAACACTTTCTATCCTTGCACTTGAAGTCTCCACTAGACTTCAAGGTAAGGCTCAAAAAACAAGGTACGGCTCAAAACTAAGCAGTCATTGCCCAGAACAAAGCANCACTCAAATTATGGCAAATTGAATTGAATTAATCACTGCAGTGAGCCAACATGTCAAGGCAATAGTGACTAGTTGATGAATCAATCGTTATTCTTGTTGGCATCGATATATTTTCGTACGACTTTATCGAACAGCCCCAAACAGGTGCCGTTAAACATGACCATCGGTAAATGTGGCACATCATTTTCACGACAAATATGCAGGAAAATCCGTTTCGCCATACTAGCGCACTGCGGACAATCCCCGTCGAAACAGTGCACATTGCAGTGTTTGATAACGCAAGGCAACGCCGATTCAAGACCTTTGTTCATACAATTCAGCGAGCATTGCTCCATCTTTGGACAACGCATATCTGCAAAAAAGTTCGAATCACAGTTATCATTTGCTTGCACCCATACCGCTAACTGTGATTTGCTTACACTGGAAATTCTAGCGAAATCTCGAAGAAAATCAGATGGTTCTCGAACTGTTTTATGCCACTTGCATAAGTTTCAGGGAGCAGAGTGAATATTAGTTATAAAACGAATGAAATGAATGACATTCGTATCTGCCTGCAAGTCTCTATCACATAAGACTAGACTGAGAATATAGATTCAGCTGGATGAATATGTACAGCAAAGAAGTTTTGATGAGCTCAACATTGGATGCTTCAATAGACCTTAGCGGTGTGTATGTTTCAAATCGGCCTCACAGAATCCTCACTCTTTCCTTTCGCCACTTTCTGATGCCTCAGAACTGTTTCGTTGTTGGCTTCTCCGCATAATCAGCGATAGAGTCGAT